CATTGTGACTTGCGAGCATCGTGACTAGCGAGCATCGTGACTAGCGAGCATCGTGACCAGCGAGCATCATGATTAGCAAGCATCGTGATCAGCGAGCATCGTGACCAGCGAGCATCGTGACTACCGAGCATCGTGACTAGCGAGCATCGTGACCAGCGATCATCGTCACTAGTGAGCATCGTGACCAGCGAGCATCGTGACTAGCGAGCATCGTGACTAGCGAGCATCGTGACCAGCGAGCATCGTGATTAGCGAGCATCGTGACCAGCGAGCATCGTGACTAGCGAGCATCGTGACTACCGAGCATCGTGACTACCGAGCATCGTGACTAGCGAGCATCGTGACTAGCGAGCATCGTGACTAGCGAGCATCGTGACCAGCGAGCATCGTGATTAGCGAGCATCGTGACTAGCGATTATCGTGACTAGCGAGCATCGTGACTACCGAGCATCGTGACTAGCGAGCATCGTGACCAGCGAGCATCGTGACTAGCGAGCATCGTGAGTAGCATCGTGAGCATCGTGATTGACATCGTGAGAATATAAAACCGTTAAGAGGTATCTGTAAATTTCAAATAAATTCCTTTATCAATCCGTTAAATGGTTGAAACCAATTATTCTAAAAATAGATTGTTCAATGAGATCATAGAAAAACATAATAATACTAAGAGAAGCTAATCTAAAGATGAAAAAAAAATTGATAACCTAGTAGATTTAGCTAGCTTATGGATGTAATAAATCGCTACAACGCAATGGCGCAACGATCGAGCGGCGTAATGATTGAGCGGCGCAGCGACGCAACGACGCAACGAGGCAACAACACAACGGCGCAACGATCCGACGGTGCAATGATGACATACGATGTAATAAATCGCAACAGCGCAACGACTCAATGGCGGATCTGCATTTACTAGAAATACTACATATAATAATGTATGTGTCATATGTTCTAGCCATTAGTGGGTTGTGCAGTAGGGGGTACAAACAGTTAGGGTTAGGAATATGTACCCCGATCCACCTAATGCAACTCATTCCGTTGTAGCCACATTCTGAGATGGTATCAGATAGGTTCCTCGCTCCTAGGCCCTAGGTTTAGGGTTTCGTTCCTTCCCTAGCTCGCCGGACACGCTCGCGCGCTAGCGCGCTAAGCCCTAGGCCGCCAGCCAGCCAGCCAGCTGCCCCCCTAGCGCGCCACGCCGCCGGTCGACCTGCAGCGCGGCCCGTCCCCTAGCCACCGCGCCATCCGCCCGTAGGCCCGCGCATCGCGCTGCCCGTAGGTCCGTGCGTCGCGCCGCCTAGCCACGCAGCCTGGCCGTCGGGCCGCCCGTCGCCTAGCCCGCCCGTCGGGCCGCCCGTCGCCTAGCCCGCCCGTCGGGCCGCCCGTCGTCTAGCCCGCCCGTCGGGCCGCCCGTCGCCTAGCCCGCCCGTCGGGCCGCCCGTCGCCTAGCCCGCCCGTCGGGCCGCCCGTCGCCTAGCCCGCCCGTCGGGCCGCCCGTCGCCTAGCCCGCCCGTCGGGCCGCCCGTCGCCTAGCCCGCCCGTCGGGCCGCCCGTCGCCTAGCCCGCCCGTCGGGCCGCCCGTCGCCTAGCCCGCCCGTCGGGCCGCCCGTCGCCTAGCCCGCCCGTAGACCCGCCCGTTGCCTAGCCCGCCCGTCGACCCGCCCGTTGCCTAGCCGCGCAGCCCGCCCGTCGACCCGCCGCGCCGCCCGTAGGCCCGCGCGCCGCGTCGCCCGCCCGTCGACCAGCTGCGCAGCCCGCCCGTCGACCCGCCGCGCCGCTCGCCACCCAGTACGCCGCCCCGTACGCCCCATAGCGCGCTTCGCCGCCCACCTACCCACCTGCATGCCTCCTCGCCTGCCCACACGTTCCTGATTGTCTCCCCCCCTCCCGCGGCTGGCAACCGCGCTCTCTCAGTTTCGCACTCTATGGCGACCTCCCGAGTACTTCGTTTTGACCCTGAGGGGAGACCTATTGATTTTAGTACGTGGCTTACGCAGGCGCAGCGCCACCTTAAGAGCCAGCGGCAGGATGGCGTGCACCTGTTCGCACACGCGTCCGGCACTCAGACCGCCCCTCCGCAGCCTCGGCCGCTGCCCACTACCCCACCGCCTACTTCTGAGCAGGAGGCCGACTACCAGCGCCAGCTCCTCGCTCGTGACGTGTGGGAGTCTCGTGACGCCGCTGCCTGCCTCGCCCTGACCGACCTTCTCCCGCCGACAGAGGCAGTCCACTTCGCTCAGGTCGAGTCTGCTGCAGATCTGTATAAGGCTATTGTTGCTCGCTACTCCACTCCCTCCTCTGCTTCGCTCAGTCGCCTCCTCGTACCCTTTATTTACCCTGACCTCGCCTCCTTTGAGACTGTCTCTGACCTCGCTACCCACCTGCGCTCTCTTGACGCTCGCTTTCGCGCTGCTTGCACTGAGGACCAGCTTGCCCTTGCCCCGCCCCCTATGTGGCTCACTATTCACTGGCTAGTCACTCGCCTCCCTGACCGCCTAGCCACAGCCCGCGACGCGCTTCTTCTGCAGCACCCCACTGAGCTTACCATCGATCTTCTTGAGACCGCTCTCTCGAAGATCGAGAGTAACCTCCTCACTGTTGCCTCTGCCTCTTCCGCGCCTCCTCCTCGTCTTTTTGAGGGGTGTGCGGTACCACAGCTTCCCACCTTCACTGCCTCACTTGCCACCCCCACGTCTTCTGCCTCCGAGGAGACGGCGGCTGTTTCTGTCTCTGGCGGACAGAAACGTGGCAAGGCTAGCAAGAAGGGAGGGAAGGGCGGCGGGGGTTCTGGGGGTGTTGCGGGTGGCGGCGGCGGTGGGGCAGGTGGTGGGAGTAGTGGTGGGGGTGGCTCGGGCCCTGACGGCCCTCCTCTCGACGGTGGAGTTCTCACTGGTGGTGCGGGGTTCCAGCAGCAGCAGCCGACTTCTCAGCAGCTGCCACCGCCTGGACAGCAGCAGCGGCAGGGACAGCAGCAGCGGCGTCCGCCACAGCACCAGCCTCAGCAGTGGGGCCCGCCTCAGCAGTGGGGCCCGCCGCAGCAGTGGGGCCCTCAGCAGCAGTGGAGGTCTGCGGGTCCCCCGAGCACTGGGCGCAGTGGCGCCCCCTCCAGTCGGGGACCGCGCTCGGCCGGCCGCGACGTTGGTCCCTGTGAGTACTGGATCCTTACAGGTCCACGTAGGGACTCGTACTGTGGCCGCCCTGACCACTCTGCTGCACGCTGCTTCAGTCGTCTCGACGACCTTTACCGCTTGCACCACGGCCCCTCCGCTCCCCCGCCGCCACGCTGGGAGACACTGCTTGCTCGTGGTATTGTTGTTTTTGATATGACTATGGATGATGCTAGGTCTTATGCCATGTATGCTGATGTTGACTATAGTGCTCCTAGATCTGTGTACTTGCCTGTACCTAGCTTAGGATCTTTGCCTGTTGCTAGAGTAGGTGCTAGTGTAGGATCTTGCTTAGCTACTAGTACAGGTACTCCATCCGCGGACGCGTCTCTCTCCTTCACACTGGACTCAGGAGCGTCGCACTGCTTCTTCCGCGACTGCACGACTCTCTCTCCGCTACCGGCGCCTGTCCCTGTAGCACTGGCCGATCCCTCCTCGGGACCGGTCATTGCGACTCACGCCACTACACTCCCGTGCCCAGCTGCTCCTTCTGGTTCCCTGACCGGCCTCCACGTTCCTACGTTCTCTAGGAACCTGGTTGGTGTGGGCACCCTGGCGAGACAGCACGTCGGGGTCTGGGTTGAGCCTTCTGGTGACACCGCAGTCTGCGTCGACGGTGACACGTACGCCCCCTTGGCCACTTTCCGCCAGGAGCCGGGCTCTGGTCTGTACACCCTCCGCACCGACCCCCGTCAGGTTCCCCCGTCCCACCAGGTAGCCGGGTCCAGTCAGGTTGCTGTGTCAGGTGTAGTTGCTGCGTCGTGCTCGTGTCGGTCGCTTGCCCACCCCACCGTTCTGTGGCACCACCGGATGGGGCACCCGTCCCTTCCTCGTCTGCGCGCCATGTCCAGTCAGCGTCTTGTCTTAGGCCTCCCCCGAGTCCTCCCACCACTCCCGCCGTCCCCAGCTCCTCCGTGCGGTCCTTGTGTCCAGGGTCGGCTTCGCGCCACCCCTCACTCCTCCTCCCTTCGTCCGGCCACCGAGCCCTTCCAGACACTCCACTTAGACGTCTGGGGCCCCGCCTCCCGCCTTGGCAATGAGCGGGAGAGTTTCTTTCTGGTGGTCGTTGACGATTACTCTCGGTACACCACCGTGTTCCCCTTGGCGAAGAAGTCCGACGTGACTTCTACGCTGATCCGGTGGCTCCTCGCCACCGAGGGCACTCGTGGTCGTCGTGTCAGTTGTCTCCACTCCGACCGCGGGGGTGAGTTTCGCTCCGGCATTCTCGCCAGATTCTGTGCTGAGCAGGGCATCACCCAGTCCTGGACTCTTCCAGACTCTCCACAGCAGAATGGGGTTGCTGAGCGCCGCTTAGGCCTGGTCATGGAGATCGCCCGCACCTCCATGATCCACGCCCGCGCGCCCCATTTTCTGTGGCCCTACGCGGCTCGGTACGCCGCTCACCAGCTGAACCTCTGGCCTCGCGTCTCTCGGCCAGGGGCTTCACCGACCAGTCTTTGGACAGGGTTGTCAGAATCAACGGACATGAATGATGAACTAGCAAAGATTGTGAGTACAAATATGAAACCCTAATGTTGTGACCCCCCTATAGGCTAACCCACTACAGCCTACACAAATACAACATGTATAATGTTTGACACACCCCCATAGGCAAAGTGGGGGAGACCTAGGGGTCACAAGACCAGTCAAGGCAAAGCAAGGCAACAACAAGCTCAGGGTGGATCTCAAGGATTCCACACAAATTCCGAGCACAAGCTAGTGGTCACAAGACCAGTTCACATGCAGGTTTATAACAGAGCAAGAGATACAGTGATCACAACCTAGCAAGAGTAAACATGCAGGTAGATATATATAGTGATCACAGTACAAGCAAAGTCAAGAGGTAAGTAAGTGAGGTCCAGTAGGCACAAGGCCTAGTAGAGTGCAGAAGCGCTGATGGTCACGAGGCTGAAGCGCCTTGGTGAACACATCAGCAGTGTTGGCCTCAGTGGCCACGTAGCGAATACAAAGCTGACCGCGCTGCTGCAGCTCACGAGCAAGGAAGTACCGCAGAGCGATGTGCTTCGTTCTGTGCTCCAGTCTGTGCTCCTCACACAAGGCAATGGCAGCCTTGTTGTCGACGTACAGTACTGGAGGAGAACGAGGCCGCTCTCCGAGGTCGGTCAGCAGGTAGGTCAGCCAGCGTAGCTCCTGGGCAGCCATGGCTGTAGCGTAGATCTCAGCCTCGCAACTGGAGCCGAGAACAGAAGAAGAGCGTGTAGAGCGCCAAGAAACTGAGCCAGAGCCAAGGCTGAAGGTGTAACCCTGAGACGACCGCTGAGTGGCCTGGTCGTCTGCCCAAGAAGCGTCTGAGTGCCCTGTGAGAACAACTCGGTCTCGCCCTCCAAGCACAAGCCCCATGCCCGACGTACTGCACAAGTAGCGCAACACCCTCTTAGCGGCATCCATGTGCTCCTTCCTGTGACGGCCAGGAGCGACATAGCGTGCAAGGATGCTAAGAGGGTATGCAAGGTCAGGTCGAGTGCAGGTCATCAGGTACATGAGGCAGCCCACAAGCTCTGGATACGGGCCACTCGGCTCTACGGACTCATCCGAAGGCAGAGCTGAGAGCGAGTGACCGGTAGGCAGAGGAGTGGACTGAGGCGAGGAGTACGTGAAGCGGAAGCGCTGGAGAACCTGCTGCACCATGTGTGACTGAGTCAGGGTGATGGTGCGCCGTGCTCTGTCCCGGGTGATCCGCAAGCCAAGATAGCTTGTCAGCTCACCCAGGTCTGTGCACGTGTGTCTCCTCTGCAGCTCCGACTTCACGTAGGCGAGTCCTGCAGTGTCAGCAGTGGCAAAGACCAAGTCGTCGACGTACACGAGGATGTAGAACGGCGGCAGCGAAGTGTCGGTGCGCAGGAACAGCGACGGGTCAGCTGTAGAAGGCGCGAACCCAAGAGTCGCAAGTGTAGTCCTCAGTGTGTCGTGCCACTCACGCGGAGCCTGGCGGAGACCGTAGACCGGCCGCTGAAGCCTCCACTGGGTACCAGGAGGAAACGACCCAGTGAAGCCAGGTGGGCGGCGCAGCCAGATCTCCTCGTGCAGGCTGCCCTGCAAGAAAGCAGTGCTGAAGTCAAGTGAGTGAAGCTCGTAGTCGCGGTGAGCGGCTATGTGCAGCAGCACCCGAAGAGTAGTCATCTTCGGGGTGGGGGAGAAGGTATGGAAGAAGTCAACTCCCTCTCGCTGACTGAAGCCTCGAGCCACGTAACGCGCCTTGAAGACAGGCGGAGAACCCGGCGGCCGCTTCACCCTGAAAATCCACATGCCACTGACGATGTTCGCCCCAGGAGGGGGAACCTCGTCGACGTAGGTGCGTGTGGACTTCCAGGAAGCCATCTCGGCGTCCATGGCTGTCTGCCACTGAGAGGAGTAGGGACCCGCCATCGCCTCAGCGTAAGTGCGCGGGGTCGGGATGTCTGGTGCATCCGGGTCTCCCTCAGGGGCAACTAGCAAGGACACGAGACGGGGCAAAGCAGCAGCAAGACACTGGAACTCCTCCTGTCTGTCCTCAAGGACGTCCGTGCCAAGAGCACACTCACCCCCGACGGACGGAGGACAGACAGACTCAGACTCAGACTCAGCAACAAGGCTAGCAGCGTAGTCTAGACGACAGGCAGCAGCAAAGTCAACCAACTCAACGACCAGAGCAGACGCAGTCGAGGACTCAAAGGTAGGGTCAGTGACAACAGTAGCAAGGAGACGCGTGACAGTAGGGTGCTCAGCACGATACCGGTCAGACTCAGGGTCCGGAACGTCAGGCAAAGAGGACGCAGGAGGAGACGGTAGAGGGACACGCTGAGGAGCAGTAGAGGGACGCAGAGTCATGTAGTGAGTGCCGGGGACAGGAGGAGGACGCTCACGACGGACACGACTACCAGTGCGAGCAGGACGAACAGGCGACGCAGGACGAGACTCAGGCTCACGACGCTCTGTAAGACCTCCTGTGGGACCAGTGTAAGGAGAGGGAGCAGGGAGAGGCGAGGTAGGCGGTAACAGTGACTGCGGCTGGACAGGCGGAGGACACTCTACGGAGGGAGGAGGACAAGGAGGAGGAGCCTGCCCAAGAACCTGCTGAAGGAGCGGTACGAAGTACGGTCGCGGCCGCGCAGCGTCTCCAGAAGTAGAAGAGACTCCAGCGGCCGGGTCCTCAGTACCAGTAGGAGCTCCAGCGTCCGGGTCCACAGCACCAGCAGCAGCTCCACCGGCCGGGTCCTCAGCACCAGTAGTAGCTCCAACGCCCGGGTCCTCAGCAGCAGCAGCAGCAGCGCCACCGCTCGGGTCCTCAGCTCCAGCAGCAGCTCCACCGTCCGAGTCCTCAGCACCAGCAGCAGCTCCACCGCCCGGGTCCTCAGCACCAGTAGCAGCTCCAACGTCCGGGTCCTCAGCACCAGCAGCAGCGCCACCCCCAGGGTCCGCAGCACCAGCAGCAGCTCCAACGTCCGAGTCCTCAGCACCAGCAGCAGCTCCACCAGGCGGGTCCGCAGCACCAGCAGCAGCTCCAACGGCCGGGTCCTCAGCACCAGCAGCAGCGCCACCGCCCGGGTCCGCAGCACCAGGAGCACCACTCCGAAGACTGCAGCGCCGTGTGTACCACTCGCGGATCTGCTGAATGGGGGGGAGCTCCCGGGTAGGAGGGGAAGTACCGGGACGAGCTCCAGCAGCACCTCTCCGGAGGCGGCAGTACTCGAGGTACCTCTCCTGCAGCTGCTGGGAGGAGAGGGCTCCTCCAGGTGTAGCACGCTCAGGCTCAGCACCCCCGGACTCAGCACCCCCAGACTCAGCACCCCCAGGCTCAGCACCTCCAGGCTCCGCACCTCCAGGCTCCGCACCCCCAGACTCAGCACTCCCAGGCTCAGCACCCCCAGACGCAGCACCCCCAGGCTCAGCACCCCTAGCAGGACGAGAGTCAACAGCTACCTCAACAGGCTCACCCGGGTCTACCTGGGACACACCTGAGGGAGCGGCACCCTGAGGGGGGAGGGGGTCTGGTACCTCAGCACCTGGAGCGAGGAAGAGAGGTGGGGGGGGGAGCGGGGCAGTGCGGTAGGGGAAGAGGCGGTAGTAGGGGACGGACTCGTCAAAAGTGACGTCCTGAGAGGCCAGGACACGACGCGAGGTGGGGTGGTAGAACTGCCAGCCAGGGGCGTCCGGGACAAAGCCAAGGAAGACGCAGGGGACAGCGCGACGGGAGAGCTTGTCCGTGGACGTGTCGCGGACAAAAGCTCGGGATCCCCAGACCCGAAAACGCGACGCATCGCCAGCCTCTCCCGTCCAACGCAGTGTCGGAGAAGTCTCGGGCAAGGAGACACGGGGCCAGAGGTTGAGCTGATGCGCAGCGTATCGGACTGCAAACGGCCACAGAAAATGGGGGGCAGCCGCATGGCTCAAGGAGGTACGAGCGACCTCCATGACGAGACCAATGCGGCGCTCAGCAACCCCATTCTGCTGTGGAGAGGCCGGAAGCGTGTACGACTGCTCAATGCCCTCCTGCTGACAGAAGGCCTCCAAGAGGCCAGAGGTAAACTCCCCACCTCTGTCAGAGTGCAGACGCAGGACAGGGAAGTCGGAGCGGAAACGCTCACTGAGCTGGAGACGAGATCTGCGGATCCAGGGGATCAATACATCAGGGACGTCACCCTTGGCGCGCAAGGGGAAGACCGTGGTGAAGCGCGAGAAGTCGTCAACAACAATCAGGAAGTACCTCTCCTGACCCTGGCCACGGACGCGGGCTGGGCCCCACACGTCCAAGTGGAGCGTCTGCAAAGGAGCAGTCGTCGGGGGAAAGGAGGAGGAGTGAGGAGCGGCGCGCTGCCGCCCCTCGACACAGGGAATACAGGGAGGAGCAGGCGAGTCTGGAAGGGGAGGGAGTACCCTGGGAAGACCAGCAACAAGGTCCCGTTTGTGCATGGCCCGAAGGCGCTGCACAGACGGGTGACCAAGGCGGTGGTGCCAAAGGACAGTCTCATGCGCCAGAGAGCGACACGAGCAGGGGGCGGACAGCTGACCTGACGCAGACGCAGACGCGGACGCAGCTACCTGAGGGGACTCAGTGGTCAGTGTGTAAAGGTCCGACCCCGGCTCCCGAGTGAAGGTAGCCAGGTGGCGACCCGTCCGAGCACACGTGCAGTGTGTCACGTGCTCGTAGGCAGGGGTGAACTGGTGAACACCCCCGTCCTGGAGCGCACTACCTGCCACCAAGTTCGTAGAGAACGAGGGGAGGTAGAGACCTGACAGCGTGCCGGACGGGACCGCCGGACAAGGAAGGACAGTGGAGGAGGTCGCAATGACCGGACCCCCAGAGGGGTCAGCAAGGGAGACAGCAACTGGCCGAGCGAGTGGCTCAAGGACTGTGCGGTCACGAAAGAAGGAGCGAGAAGCACCTGAGTCCAGTGTGAAGGTGTGCAATGCTGCAGTCGACTCAGTACCAGGGGGCACGGACGCACTAGCACCTAGGGCTGCAGCCTCACCAGGACCTGTGGGAGCAGACGCACTAGCACCTAGAGCGGCAGCCGGACTAGTCTGAATGCCCGGGTCGGGCGGAACACGCAAGTACTGAGCACCCTCTCCACTAATAGACATCGCATACATGGCAGTGAGAATAGCATCAAAGTCTAAAGCCCAAATATCAACACCCCTCTTTTCCAGATCAGCCCAGCGCGGCAGCTCAGTGGCAGCAGGAAACTGAGTGCGCCACGCGTCGTTAAGGCGCGCGAAGCAGCGCTGCGTGGGGTGCGGCCTCCCACACTGCTGGCCGCTGCGGTCACCTGTGCGAATGACATACGTGTAGGTAAAGCCACGCTGCGCATACCACTCACGGGCGGCCTGAAGCGTCGGGGCGGGCTGCTGACTCTGCCCTCCGCCAGTGCCTCCACGACCACCACCCCCACCGCCGCCGCCCCGGCCACCTCCACCCCTGCCGCCGCCACGACCACCTCCGCCTCCGCTGCCGCCTCCGCCACCACTCCCACCGCTGCTGTCTCCTCCCCCACTGCCGCCACTAGTCTCCCCAGCCGCGCCTCCACTCCCACCGCCTCCACCCCCACCTCCTCCGCCGCCACCCCCACCCCTGCCCCCCTTGTTCCTGCGGCGCCCGCTCGAAGCAGACGCGGTCCCGACCTTCTCAGCACCAAGAAGGTCGACAGCAGCAGCAGAGGCGACAGAGGGGAGGAGGGGGGAAGGGGAACACCCCTCAAAGAACGGGGTGCGGGGGTCGCCACGAGAGGTGCCTACAGCGACGATGCTCGCCTCAGCTGCAAGCAGTTCCTTCTCGAGGAGGGCAACAGTGAGCTCAGTGGGGGAGCGAGAGAGGAAGTGGTCCCTGACTGCGCGCAGAGAGTCAGGGAGGCGGGTGACGATGTGGTAGAGAGTGATCCAGAGCGGGGGGGGGTTGCTAGTGAGAAACTCGGCAGGCATAGCAGCGCGAAAGCGGGCCTCACTAGTCTTAAGGTGGGTGATGAGGTCTGCGACAGTGTGAAAGGAGGCTAGGTCGGGGAACAGGTAGGGGAGAGTGAGGCGGCCTAGCGTGGCAGAAGCGGGTGAGGAGTAGCGGGCAACTACAGCGGTGTAGAGGTCCTTAGCAGTCTTGCACTGGCCGAAGTGCTCGCGCTCGTCTAGCGGCAGGGAGTTGCGAATAGCAAAGCGAGCGTGCGCATCACGGGTCTGCCACTGGGAACGCAGAGTGCTGTCAGCAGACGAGTCAGGGGCAGTGGCATGGCCTAGGGCGTGGTCGTACAGTGAGATATCTTCCTTGGCAGTGAGCTGTAGGAACAGGTGCAGGTCATCTAGCCAGGTTTCGAACTTCACTGGACGGCCCTCGGCATCGAAAGCTAGAACTGGAGGACTAGCCATAGTGACAGTAGCAGTAGCAGTAGTAGCAGTAGTAACAGTAGTAGTAGGAATTAGGCCGCTGGAAAGGTGTGCGGAGGGTCAACGGGGCCGGCGGGGCCGCTAGGCAAGGCGCGGGCGGGGTCGACTGTCCGTAGTGGCACACGAGCGGCAGTAGTAGGTAGCGTGGCAGCAGGAGCTGCAACGGTGCACTGGTGGCAGCTGCAGTGGCAGCAGTGTGCGCGGTAGGTAGAAAATAAACAACAGTGAGAGCGAGTGCCTCGCGGGCGGCGGCTGCAGAAGCGCACGGGCGGCAGCGGCGCACGGGGAACGGCGGTGCACGGGCAGCGGCAGCGCACGGGCAGCGGCAGCGTAGGAGCAGCGACGGCGCACGGGCAGCGGCGGCGCACAGGCAGCGGCGGCGCTCGGGAGGCAGCGGTGCGCAAGCAGCAGCGGAAGCAGCGGCGTACGAGCGGCTGCGGGCAGCGGGGCGTGCGCGAGCAGGCGACGGGCGGCTGCGGGCGGGCGGCCGCTGCGACAGCGGGCTGCGGGCCTGCGGGGCGTGCGCGAGCAGGCAACGGGCGGCTGCGGGGCGTGCGCGAGCAGGCTACGAGCGGCTGCGGGGCGTGCGCTAGCAGGCGACGGGCGGCTGCGGGGCGTGCGCGAGCAGGCGACGGGCGGCTGCGGGGCGTGCGCGAGCAGGCGACGGGCGGCTGCGGGGCGTGCGCGAGTAGGCGACGGGCCGCGCGCGAGCGGCTAAGGGGCGGCGCGACGGGGCCTTAAGGGGCGGGTCGCGGGTCGCGGGAGGTAGGGGCCGTAAAAAAAAAATTTTCGAGGCGCCCTAGGTAGGTAGGTAGGTAGGTAGGGAACGGTGGGCCCTTAAAAAAAAACGGTCCTAGCGAAGGACCTGCTCTGAAACCATGTCAGAATCAACGGACAGGAATGATGAACTAGCAAGGATTGTGAGTACAAATATGAAACCCTAATGTTGTGACCCCCCTATAGGCTAACCCACTACAGCCTACACAAATACAACATGTATAATGTTTGACAAGGGTCCCCTGGTATTGCGTCGAGGTTTAGTGTCTGGGGCTGCTTGGCTCTTGTCCGCGACACCTCTGCGGACAAGATCTCGCCTCGCGCCATTCCCTGTGTCTTCCTTGGTTTCCCAGAGGGCTCCTCTGACTTCACCTTTTACCACCCACCCTCCCACCGGTTCTTTGACTCTCGTGACGTCCGTTTCGACGAGTCCGTCCCCTACTACGTCAGGTACCCCTCTCGAGGTCTCCCGGTTCCCCCCCCTCCCCTCTTCCTGGCTCCAGCTCCTCCTCCTCCCGCCCCTGCTCCTCCGGTACCCCCCCCTGTTCCCGCTCCGTCTGGTGTGTCCCACGCTACTCCCCCTCCCTCGGTACCCCCCCAGGTCTCTCCTCCTTCCCCACAGTCGTCCTCACCGCCTCCGCAGCAGCCGTCGGCGCTTCCTTCACCGGCCACTGCGGAGTTTGAGGGTGTTGGTGCTCGAGGTGAGGGCTCTGGCGGTGCTAGTTCTGGGGGTGCTGGCGTTGGCGCTGAGCGTGCACCTGCCGCAGCTGCCCGTTCCGAGGGTGCTGGAGCTGGTGGTGGTGCTGGAGCTGGTGGTGTTTCTGGAGCTGGAGAGTCTGGGGCTGGTATTGACGCTACTGGGGGCACCACGGCTGGGGGTGCGGGTACACCTCCTGCAGGTGCAGGTCGTGCTGCCGCGGGGGGTACTCGCTCTGGGGGTGCTCAGCCGGGTTCTGTCGAGGGCGGAGCAGGTTCTTCTTCGTCGTCTCCTGACACCACTCCTCCTCCTCACCCTTACCCGACTCGCCACCAGGCCCGTCTTCGTCTTGAGCGTGAGGAGCAGCAGCGTTTGGAGCGTGAGAGGTTGGAGGTTCAGCAGCGGGTGGAGCGTGAGAGGTTGGAGTTGCAGCGAGAGCAGCAGCAGCAGCAGCAGCAGCAGCAGCAGCAGCAGCAGCAGCAGCCGCAGCAGCAGCAGCAGCAGCAGCAGCAGCCGCAGCAGCCGGAGCAGCCTCCGGCACCTGTTTCAGGTCTTCGGGCCCTTGGTCTCCCCTCCTCTCCTCCTGTGTTCGGTCCTACGTTTCCTCCTCCGGACTCCACTCCGGCTGTCTTCCCTCGTTCTCAGTCTCCTCCGTCCCCCCCTCCTCTCGCCCACACTTGGGCCTCTCGTCCTCCTCGTGCTCGTCCCTCGTCCCCTGTCACTGACCTCCGTACCGTGTTGTTTCGTCCTAGTCCTCCTCGTTCTCCTCCGTCTGTCCTTCCTCGTCCTCCTGAGTCTTCCCTCACTGCCTCCCTGTCCACTCCGGTCACTGACTACTACCGCACGTACCGCCCCACTCTCTCTCGTGTTCTCGCCTCTCTTGTTACAGACCCTCGTGCCTCTCCTTCCTCTGTCGCGGTCCTCACTGCCGCTGTCACTGACTTTACTGCTACGCGTCGCCTTGACTACGCCACTCGTGTTGTGGCCGCTCCTCCTGTCCGTCCTCTGTCCGCCGGGGGTGAGTCTGCCCTTGGTTGTGACGTCCTAGAGGACAGACAGTTTGAGCTAGAGTTCCTGGCAGCTGCTTCGCCTCATCTCTGTGCCATGCTCCTCGCTCCTGAGGGAGACCCCGACGCTCCTGACATACCTACTCCTCGCACTTACGCTGAGGCAGTGTCAGGGCCTTGGGCCTCTCAGTGGAGAGCTGCCATGGACGCAGAGATGGCCTCCTACAGGTCCACAGGCACTTACGTTGACGAGGTTCCCCCCCCAGGGGCGAACATCGTTGACGGCATGTGGATCTTCAAGGTGAAGCGGCCGTCGGGATCTCCCCCAGTCTTCAAGGCACGCTACGTGGCTAGAGGGTTCAGTCAGCGTGAGGGAGTCGACTTCTTTCAGACCTTCGCGCCCACCCCGAAGATGACCACTCTTCGGGTGTTACTGCACGTAGCAGCGCAGAGAGACTACGAGCTACACTCTCTTGACTTCTCCACTGCCTTCCTCCAGGGCCGCCTACACGAGGAGATCTGGCTGCGTCGTCCTCCGGGCTTCACTGGCACTTTCCCGCCTGGGACCCAGTGGAGCCTCAGACGACCGGTCTACGGTCTCCGCCAGGCACCCCGTGAGTGGCACGACACTCTCCGCTCTACTCTCTCCGACCTCGGGTTTGAGCCGTCTTCCGCCGACCCGTCGCTGTTTGTTCGTCGTGGGCGCACACCTTTCTTCGTTCTGGTCTACGTTGACGACTTGGTTTTTGCCACAGCCGACACAGCTGCACTGGCGGAGGTGAAGTCCGAACTGCAGAAGAGACACACCATCACTGACCTTGGGGAACTGCGCCGCTACCTTGGCCTGCAGATCTCCAGGGACAGAGCCGCTCGCACCATCACTCTGACTCAGTCACACATGGTGCGGCAGGTCCTTCAGCGGTTCGGGCTTCAGGACTCTTCTCCTACACCCACTCCTCTTGCTGTAGACCACAGACTCACTGGGCCTTTTCCTGACGAGCCGTTCGAGCCCAGTGGTCCCTACGCAGAGCTAGTGGGCTGCCTCATGTACCTGATGACGTGCACTCGCCCGGACCTCGCCTTCCCTCTTAGCATCCTTTCTCGCTTTGTTGCGACTGGGAGACACCGTCCTGTTCACTGGGCGGCAGCTAAGAGGGTGGCGAAGTACCTCGGCGCGACATCAGACATGGGGCTTGTACTTGGAGGGACACAGCCAGTTGTACTCACCGGTCACTGCGACTCCTCCTACGCCGACGACGTTGAGACTCAGAGGTCTACGCAGGGTTACTGTTTCAGCCTGGGTTCTGGAGCTGTTTCGTGGAGGTCTACTCGGTCCTCCTCTGTTGCGACTTCTACCGCAGAGGCCGAGATCTACGCTGGAGCCCTTGCTGCTCAGGAGCTACGCTGGTTGACCTTTTTGCTCACTGACCTTGGTGAGCTCTGCACCGACCCTGTTTGCTGACAACAGGGCGATGATTCTCCTGTGTCGTGAGCCTCGACTAGAGAGCAGAGTGAAGCACATCGACGTCAGGTACTTCCTCCTTCGAGAGTTGCAGAGACGCGGGCAGGCTCGTCTGGACTTCGTGGCCTCCGAGGCCAACACTGCAGACATCTTCACCAAGGCTCTTCAGCCTTGTGACCACCGCCGGTTCTGTCTGCAGTTGGGCCTCGTTGAGACTGGGTCGAGTAGACTGCAGTAGTGAGTGTTTGTTTCTTGTCTCTGCTTGTACTGTATATAATTGCATATACACTCTTGAACTGGCCTTGTGGCCGCTGTTTGCGCTCAGACTGTGTGGTGACGTTGTGATCCACCCTGAGCTCTGTTTTGTCTCTTGTTTATGACTGGTCTAGTGACCTTAGGTTGTTTGTTGTTACTTTGCACTCCCCACTTAGGCTATGGGGGTGTGTCAAATGTTCTAGCCATTAGTGGGTTGTGCAGTAGAGGGTAAAAACAGTTAGGGTTGGAATATGTACCCCGATCCACCTAATGCAACTCATTCCGCTGTAGCCACTTTCTGAGAGTATGCTCCATTTTAGACTAGCTAGTATATGTGGCACATTGTAGTAATATTGGAACATTGTAATATCGTGACAAACGAGCATCGTGACTAGCGAGCATCGTGACCAGCAAGCATCGTGACTAGCGAGCATCGTGACTACCGAGCATCGTGACCAGCGAGCATCGTGACTAGCGAGCATCGTGACCAGCGAGCATCGTGACTAGCGAGCATCGTGACCAGCGAGCATCGTGACTAGCGAGCATCGTGACCAGCGAGCATCGTGACTAGCGAGCATCGTGACCAGCGAGCATCGTGACTAGCGAGCATCGTGACCAGCGAGCATCGTGACTAGCGAGCATCGTGACCAGCGAGCATCGTGACTAGCGAGCATCGTGACTAGCGAGCATCATGACCAGCGAGCATCGTGATTAGCGAGCATCGTGATAAGCGAGCATCGTAACCAGCGAGCATCGTGACTTGCGAGCATCGTGACCAGCGAGC